TTTCATAAATTAAAAAAAATATTTTTAAAGAAAATATGCCCGGTTGTGCATTAAGGTATTATAAGTCACGATATGGAGCAAAAAAATGTACGTGATTTCGGTTTATTTTGGTAAGAATAATGTATATTTACCAAATAATCTTTATTTTTTTTTATTTTTAGTCGATGAATCTAGAAGAAAGAAAAATTATTGTAATAAGCGTCCTCTGTTATAAAGTAACGTCACTATTTATTTTCCAATATGTCAATGATTGGCGACGTGCTTATAACGGATTTTTACCTTATATTTAGTAGCGTCACCTAATGGGGAATAGCTAAAACGTTTTATAAATACAAAATTCAGCGTAATATTGCTATGTTTCAATAGAGGGCGTAACACATGCGCGAGCTCACTGTTTTTGTATGTAAATGTTCCCGATATCCGCTCTATCTTAATAATATATGTAAATTACGTGTCACGTTGTTTGTCCGCGATGGACTCCTAAACTACTTAACCGATTTTAATCAAATTTGCACACCGTGTGCAGTTTCGTCCAACTTGATAGAGAGGATAGTTTTTTTGCACATGATTGACCCACAAATTTTTTGCGAATTTAAGTATTTTAAATAGGACATGACAAAAGGTCGTCGAAAAGGGCAGAACAACGTCTGCCTGGCAAGCTAGTAGTGTATATATTTGAATCTAGTGTGTACATTTAAATCTCTTTGTTGAAAGGCTAATTAGGCTAGTTGGCTGCGACAGTTACAAAATACCTAAGTTGATACAACATAATTGTAATGTGAATATTTAGTATGTCCATTAAAATATCATGCACCATCATCATTACAGTCTATCATAAGCTCACTGAACGTAGGTCTCCCTCAGATTATCTATGGGGGATATTTGCCATAGTGATCACGCTTAGCAGCGCAACCGCAGTTTTTATTATTTGGAGTTGTTACCGGCAGACTCTGCTGCCTATCTCCTAATTTGTTTCTCTCTGTTGCCTGTTACGGTACCCACGGGATGTTATCATTCATCATCATCATTACAGCCCTTCACAAGTCCACTGCTGAACATAGGCCTCCCCCAAGCAATGCCACAAAGCATGGTCCTGAGCCACCTGCATCCATCGACTTCCTGCATGTCTTACCAGGTCGTCACTCCATCTAGTGGGGGGTCGCCCTACACTACGCCTACCGGTACGAGGCTGCCACTAGAGAACCTTTCTTCCCCATCGGTTATCGGTTCTTCGAGCTATATGGCCGGCCTATTGCCACTTCAGCTTACTAATCCGTTGGGCTATGTCGGTCACTCTGGATTTACTGCGGATATCCTTATTTCTGAGTCTATCATGCAGAGAAACTCCGAGCATAGCCCTCTCCATAGCTCGCTGAGCGACCTTGAGCGTCCTCATACGGCCAGCAGTGAAGGACCACGTCTCTGATCCGTAAGTCATCACTGGCAATACGCACTGGTTGTACAACTTAGTTGTCAGGTTTTGACCTGACGAGAAGATGTGTCGTAATTTCCCGAACGCTGCCCAGCCGAGTTGCATCCGTCGATTGACCTCTAGGTCGAAGTTGGACTTACCTAATTACTTACTTATCTAAACAAAGATCATGGGATTTTAATGAGTGGTTAATCCAATTACCACCACCAAATAGCGAGAAAAAGTTTCATTACTATTATACATAATGTGTTCCTGTAAATTCATTCATCGCTTTCATCAAATAAGCAAAATCAACCTAAACTAAATGAAAGGACCTTACCAAAAGTCGCCTGTGGTGTAGGAAAATATACATACTATATATATATATTGAGCATAAAATAGCAGCTTAATGCTGTTGTGTTTCGTATGGTGAATGTCAAGAACCGGAGACGCTTTTTATTGGAAACAAGACATTCCATCTAAGTCTTTCGTGGACTTTGTACTCGTTTAAACTTTGAATATTAAAATACTCTAGCGTTTAAAATATATATAAAATATATATATATATATATATATATATATATATATATATATATATATGTATATATATATATATATATATACTTATTAAACGTCACTGTTATAACTCACATATAGCAGCCACATTAACATTATATGCATTTAAAAATACAAATTGATAGGCTGATTAAAAGCGATTTATTTAATAACATACGTCATACAAGTAAGTTTATTAAACCATCTTAAAAAGGTTACTATCGTTTCTTCAACAACCCCCTTCTCCCTTTCGGACGGAACATATGTTTCAATCGCCATGCAGGAGATTATGCATTAGATTAACCATCGCCGTTGGAATTTTATGTCTGACATTTATGAAATCACTGGCTTTTGATATATTATACTGCCATAATATATCGGAAGCCATCAAACCCTCGTATTCTCTATAGACGTCTTTACGACACCCATAAATCCACTGCCATACTGGAACACTATCTATTATTATGTAGCTGTGTTGAAGTAAAAATTGGGAAGATTTATTTTAATCGAGAAAAAGTAGCTTCCGCAAAAGCCTTAAAATACTGCCTGAAACAATTAAAATTATTCAAAGAATTAGTATTTATTTACTCATATAATCCGTATACTGTTAAGTATTTATCTGATTTATATGAAAAAAATAAAAATATATCGGTCACAAAATAGTATAATATTTAATATAACTTTAGTCAAAGGAAAAATTAACCTGTCATTGAATTCTCAAATTAAAAAAAAATAGATAAAAGATTAGCCATCGTATGACACTTTTGTCTGCAACTAACAGTCCAACTGATGACAAGTGGCTACTGCGTTCCATAAGCAAGTGACGTTAACTACATTTAAAGAAGATCACACTCGAAGGTAAATTTACTTTATATTTTACTTACTACTTTAAAGTACTAATACTTTTTCATCCGTAGTGGCGGTGTAAGAATATCCGCCCGTAGGTGTTGTAAGAGGTGCTAGACGGAAACAAATCAGGAGCTGGGCAGCAGTGTCTTCCTAATAACAGCTCAAAATTATAAAAATCTGTGATTGCAAACCCGCCTGCCAAGCGTGGCAACTATGGCAAAATCTATCTATGATAATAATAATAATATAATAATATATTCCACAACTATCACACAACGCCATCTAGTCCCAAGCTAAGCAGAGCTTGTGTTATGGGTACTAGACAACTGATAAACATACTTATATATTTTTAAATACATAAATATTATAGATAAATTACACCCAGACACAGAACAAATGATCGTGCTCATCACACAAACATTTGTCCTGGGTGGGATTCGAACCCACGACCTCCGGCTCAGCAGTCAGGGTCACTAACCACTAGACCAACAGGCCTGTCAAATCTATGAGCTATTTAATAATCTATAAGACAATCTACGTATAGAGACGATGTTCAACAGTTGACTTTTATAGGCTGTAATAGATGAATGGATCGGAGCTACACCGACATTTTCACCCTCGTGGACTAAGATGAAATTTTACGTAGCCTGTACTGGCTCCTTTACTCCTCAAACTTGTACATATTAGAAGGTAATCCGCTGCTTAACGGCTGAATATAGTAAGAGATTGTAAAGCCACATTAGTAAAGCCCAAACGGACACTTGGGCAGAGAAGCAACTTGACCAATTTTATTAATTTTCTTTTAAAAGGAAAAAAATAAAAAGAACTTGTGGCGGCGCTGTCATCGTGGCACAAGAAAGCCGCCTATTCGCTATATATAGTACAGCTTTTTACTAATACCCTCAGGTTCAACACCTTACCCGGTAGGCCGGTAGGAGATATCCTCTTTTCCTTCCACGGTCAAAAATTGGTCAACCATAAGACATTATTTAATTGTAGTAAAATAACGGCATATTTAGCGATCAAGGGAAACATCATGGTGAAAATTAATCTGAGAAATTATTATTAGCAAAGCTGTGAACTATTTCCCGTGCGAGAATACCGCTTTTTTATGTAGCTTCTTTAAAATATACTATTTTTATTGTTTTAAATGGAAATGTTTTGCATATGACGATTTTTCTTTCGATTCTAAATAATTAGTTTTTTTAAATAAATAAATCTCTAATTATGTACAATTAACTTTTATATCAGGAATTTCGTAAGCATACACGATGTTTCATTAGATTGTTTACGTGTAATGGTGACCGTTATTTAATTTTAGATAAAGCGTAATTGCTACATTTATTTCAACTCTAAGTCACATTCAATGCTCATACCCCACTGACCTCTATATATACAAGTACTATATATAGAGGTCAGTGTCATACCCTAAAACCGAAAAATTATAGTTTTTTGTATATGTTGGAAACACCGGTGCTTATGTTGATCGTGTAGATGTAATAATACCCAAATACCTACCCTACCTTCTACCTACCCTACCTTATACCTACCCTACCTTATACCTACCCTACCTTATACCTACCCCCTACCTTATACCCTACCCTACCTTATACCTACTCTACCTTATACCTACCCTACCTTATACCTACCCTACCTTATACCTACCCTATAACTCGTGGATGTCGTAAGAGGCGACAGAGGGAAACAAACTAGATGAGCAGCAGCATCTTCCTGATTACTCTATTAAAAATCTGCGGTTATCACCTGCTAGGCGTGGCAACTAAGATAGATATCTCCTCTACGAGGCAATCTATGGAGGAAGCCTATGCTATATAGCTAGCTAGCTATATACGAAGCAGTGGATTTTGATGGGCTAAATAATAATATACGGTAAAATTTGTGAGCAAAATGTAGTTTGTTTTAAAAATTTGGTTCTTGCTACATCAAATTTATTTAAAGTAAACTTGATCGAAATAGAAGGAACGGAATCAGTTTGACATCACAATTCTGTAACTGATATTTATGTTGGTTGCCGACTGTCATAGTTTTGGCCTTTGATCTACTTATACTTTTCAAAGCCTGTAAAAGTTCACTGATAGAGACGGATTTGCCTTAATCGTTTAGCATTTCATTCGATGCTTTTACCCATTATTACTGTAGTATTGATACTTAATTTTTTTAACAGGAGGAAGCAGGCGTGCTACACGAATAACGGTGGCTACAGCGATTGGTATTTGGATACTAGCAGCGCTTCTTGCTACGCCTGCTTACATCGGATCTTATGTGCGTGCTTTCGTCGTCAATCCTACAACACAGGTTAAAAAGAAATTCTCAATTGTTCGCCTATATATATTACGTAACATTAGGTACCATTTAGTGACTACATTTTTAAAATTAAAATAGTATAATATTTGTGACATAAGTGTTTCCTGTTTTAAAATTTAAGTAAGTTACTAAAGTAACAGTTTTTACATTTAAGTTGTATAGCTGAGCACATGCCTCATATCGAATACGTTTTGACGGATCACATGTCTTCACATTCTTCCACATGTCGTGGAAGTAAAAAATTACATTTATGTTTTTATTTTATTTTTATGTTTTTGGTTAGAATATCATTAAAATTAAATAAAATTTCAATAATCATCAGCCGGCTTCCTTCTCGAAGTTATTCTTACCTAGTTGAAATATCTGCCGGAGTTAAGTATATTCCTGGACAAATTCGAAAATTTCACCATCAATACTAATTGGAACCGGCATGACGTGATCATTGAACAAAACTTTTGTCTTGTTCAGATTCATACACAGACCAACATGATTCATTCAGTCTGTTCAGCATGTCCTGAAGTTCCTGCAAAGATTCTGCCATGACGACAATATCATCAGCAAAGCGTAGGTGTGAGATGTACTCACCGTTTACGTTAATGCTACGTGCTTTCCAATTGTAAACAATTAAGGAATATAACATCCCCCTGTCTCGCTCCGCGATGCAATTTGATTGGTTTTGTTTGACATCAATCATCAATAGCCCATCATTTTCGACGAACTTGACCATCATTTGCCTCCTGTGATTTCTGCTTCTAAAACTGTGGAGTCCCAAAATCAATTCAACGCCCGTGTGCTTACCCACTTTGGCATTAAAATCACGTTAGGCCCTAAAAATATCTTCAATTAATTTATGTATGTTATATTATACTTATTATGTTTCGCCTGAAATAGAATATAATGATATATCTTAAGTTGCTCACTTCTTTACACCGTACTGGTTATTTTCCTCACTCTTTCGCCCTCATGGCCATCAGACTTTGGAACGACATCCCTCTTGACATTAAAAAAAGCTCCCAACAAATTCGTCTTTAAAAATCAAGTCCGTAACTGTACTGTAGTTAACGACATCGTTTTTATATTTTTTTTTTTTTATTATGCATTTTTTTTTCTCTCTATTTGAATTATTGCTCACGCCTACATAATGTCTATCTCTTTTTCGTATGTATCATTTCTATTTTTGTTCATGAAAGCATAGATAAATAAATAAATATTTGTAACGACCATATTTTTCTTACCATGATGCCAAATATCGTGTTTCTTTGTAACCTTAAATGTTTAGATTTTTTAAAATCATATTTTTCTTACTTATTGCTTGTGCTTGTACTGAAAGTAAGTAGTGTTGCAGCTCTAGATGATATATTGCACTGTCTTACCGTAAGAAAAGTTTATTAGAAAATCTCGCCTTGCAGGCACTCAGATATTAATAGGACGGAATGACAGACGATATTGCTACTTCGATTAAACCATTTAGTTCAAATGCGTAAAATATCGATAACAAAGGGGTGACGTCCTGCCAATCACCTGGTTGTCGGATTGAGCGGACAGAAGGAAATTAAGGCATGTAATTACTGCGCACTCTCCTTGATGTATTCTGTAGATTACGGAGAGGCTAGCTACTCTTTCAGTATGTTCATACACACTATTATAGCAACCGTGTAGTGGCGATTAAAAATATCCACTACCCCATATTTTCCCTTGGGTGTCGTAAGAGGTGACAGAGGGAGAGAGGCAGGAGACGGGCAACATCATCTTGCTGATAACGGCAATTATACAATAAAAACTGCGGTTGCCAACCTGCTCGCCAAGCGTGGCAACTATGGTAAACATCCCCCCGTTAAGCACGAGTCAACGAGTTAACGATACAAAAGAATATCCGCCAGTCCCAGGCGGCCCTGCTATTCCTGGCTACGATTGCGATCACGGTAACAGCGGGGTAAGTTTGCTAAGAATCTCCGGTGGAGGTTCGGTTGCCACGTAAGACGACTTGACCTGGCAATATATAACGCACACACCATGAGAACTGACGTGCTGATTCTGGAGCTGAAAGAAGAGGTAGACAAGTTGTGGTGGCAAATTATAAGATTATCCGAGATCCGTAGAGAGACGAAGGGCATTTCGTGCCCTAATAAATTGACCACAAGTTTCAATAACTCAATCGAAAATAAACGGAAAATTAACCTTAAATTTAGATCATTTGAGTAAGATACATCAAATTTTACATCAAATTTCATAGGTTTCGCGGGTACATGAAAGATTTAGCTTAATTAATGTATATATTTTGACAGAAAACTGATGCTCGCACTAATATTCTACGTAAACAAGTGAAATTAAATTATTATAGAGATTAACTTTTTTATATTTACTACCATAACATATCACGATCAATTTGAAATAATATTTGTCATTTATGTTCTGTTACTAATTCTTATATAGGTATACTATATAAAATACCTTTAAGATGCTTTAAGATTTGGTGAGGAGTTACAGTCGCGTCGCAATCATGTACAAGTTCTATAAAGGTGCCACAGGAACTTTTTGTATATCTTTCAGCTCCAAAAAACATATTTCTTTGCACCTTTGTCTTGATCGCTTTAGAAACCGATCATGTTATAATGTAAGTTCTTTTGAATGGTAGAGTAGTTATTGGGAAGTTCTCAATAACTACTGTAGCACTTTCTTATGAAGGTAAATCCACTACATATACCAGTAAAGCGTCTATTGTAGCGCTTTGTTATAGCGCTTATGTGCTACTTGGGTGGTGAAAGCGTACTTCTTTACTCCTTAAATAATCATTCCCTCATATTTCATCATTGTTTATTTAAAATTATTACCTATTTTTCGTTACTTTTTTACTCCTTAATGTTCTTGTATACATATTTCTATATTTGTGGATTTTAAATTTATTTATTCATTATCTTATGTTTTTATTAAGTATATATATATTTTTTTTTTTTTTTTTTTTTTTTTAACAACTTGCGTACACCCTTACATAGATCGTTATATCCTCTGCAATAGGGTTGCCTATTAGAAATCGATTCTAAGCGATAAGCTCGCCAATTGTGGGTACCTTTAAATATATTTTTTTCTCTTATTGTTTTGTTGCACAATAAAGTATATTTAATTCATTTATTCATTCACGTGTAACTCAAAACGAAAGTTATTGTTCTTCTATCCACACGTAAGTTCTGAGATATGGAGGGGGTGAGTGCTTGCAGTAAATTTCACAGTGCGCGAGTTCAGCAGAGCGAGGCTGGGATCAAACCTGGGGCGGGTAGGTAGGGGCAGGTAGGAAAATGGGAGATCTCCCCCCGGGGAAGGTGTTCTGCCCGGGGAGCGGCCGACACTCCATGTGATAGTTCGGAGATGTTCTATATATACTGTTTATGATTCGGAATTTTGATAGCACGATTTAGGCTTTGGTGAGTTTCGTTTGTGGAGCGACGACAGCGCAGCCACATCACCCCTCTGCTCAGACCGGAAGATCGATAGTGCAGCCTTGTTTCCGACGAATGTGCAAGTGCCAGTGGATTTCCTTGTAGTCTGCGGTGAGTCGAGAAGAAGGCAAGTAATCTGCAAGAGTGTCATGAAGCAGAAGCGAGCAGTAAGGCTCAGAGCCATACCGAACACTGTATAGCGTAGAGAGTAGCTTCAAGGAACAGGAAGCATTATTATTCCAGAGCTGCGATGAACCTTGTGAAGCTAGACGGCTTTGCAGGATATGAAGACTGCAGACGATATCTGATCGGGAGCAAATGGGTGGGGTACTCTGTGATGATGAAGCTTGAAGTTTCCGAAGGTTGTTGGTTGCGTGTTCAGATCATGTCGGGCCACCAATGTGGCCGGTGTTGAAAGAAAACATTGTGAGAAAACTTGCATAATATGAAATAAAAAATCCCATATAAAGTCCACCAACACATTGAGGCAGCACGGCGGACGCATCCTTGCCCTAAAAAGCCCTCTTTGAAATAAGAGGAGGTACGTGCCCTACTGTTTGCTCTGGCACGTGCTTAGCAGTTTGATGTATATTGTATCAAAACCGTAACTTTTCTTACGTTTTACTTTTGCACTTCATTTAATTTAATAGATTTAAACTAAAATTTTAAATATTTTTATTTAAATTTGGTTTTTACACTTTTTGAACGTCGATAAAGCTATGACATCTCTTCATCAGTCTCTCTTGTACAGTAGAGAGCAATACTAAGCAGATGTGATTTATGTTATATTTATAATTCGAATAATTGATAAAATAAATTATCTAGAACGATTATCTAATATCTAAATACTCATACGTACATATTATATAACATTCATACGTGGTAGAGCCATGCTGCAGTTATATTAGTAGTATAGTTGAAGCACGAATGGGTCGGCTCGACCGGGGAAGGATAACGCTCTCACAGAATACCAGCGTAAAATAGTAGCATAATGCTGCTGTGTTTCGTACGGTGAGTGTAGAGAACCGGAGACCCTTTTTACTGGAAACGAGGCATTCCATCTTAGTCTTCACGGGTGAAAACGCATCTGCGTTTTGATCGAGAATATATGTAGTTGTCTATGGGCCACAGCAATCACTTACCATCAGGTGGATGGACTTCGTGCTCGTTTGTCACCCTATCCTATAAAAAAACGCGACATTAATAATTATCTCCTATCCAGACGAGAGAGGACCTTAGCACTATGCTCAGTGACCTCAATGGTGTCTCCCAACGGATAGGTCTTAAGATGAACATGGACAAAACAAAGATCATGTTTAATGTCCATGTCACACCTATGCCGGTAATTGTTGGGAGCACTATGCTCGAAGTTGTTGACGAGTACGTTTACCTGGGACAAATAGTTCGACTAGGTAAGTCCAACTTCGACCGAGAGATCAATCGACGGGTTCAACTCGGCTGGGCAGCGTTCGGGAAATTACGACACATCTTCTCGTCAGGTATACCTCAATCTCTGAAAACTAAAGTGTACAACCAGTGCGTGTTGCCAGTGAATACTTACGGATCTGAGACGTGGTCCTTCACCGCTGGCCGTATGAGGACGCTCAAGGTCGCTCAGCGAGCTATGGAGAGGGCTATGCTCGGAGTTTCACTGCGTGATAGACTCAGAAATGAGGATATCCGCAGTAAAACCAGAGTGACCGACATAGCCCAATGGATTAGTAAGCTGAAGTGGCAATGGGCCGGCCATATAGCTCGAAGAACCGATAACCGATGGGGAAGAAAGGTTCTCGAGTGGCAGCCTCGTACCGGTAGGCGTAGTGTAGGGTGACCCCCCACTAGATGGAGTGACGACCTGGTAAGACATGCAGGAAGTCGATGGATGCAGGTGGCTCAGGACCGTGCTTTGTGGCATTACTTGGGGGAGGCCTATGTTCAGCAGTGGACTTGTGAAGGGCTGTAATGATGAATGATGATGATGATCCAGACGAAGCCGAGGCAAGTCGCTAATTTTTAATAAATAGCCCAATATAATATTAGTACTGACATTATGAACGTATGAATACTGTATATGGTTTCTTTTTACAACTTTAAAGTTGTACACTACATCTTATTTTTTATTTCGCAGTTCCTAGTATGTTATCCATATCCACCAGAATGGGGGGAGAATTACCCAAGAACAATGGTTTTGGTGCGATTTCTCGTTTACTACTCATTGCCGTTGGCTGTCATTGCACTTTTCTACATCTTGATGGCACGACATTTGGTGCTGAGTACCCAAAACATGCCCGGTGAGCTGCAAGGGACACAACGACAGGTATTTTTTTTTTTCAATACTTCTTACTATTTATCTCTGTACAAAAATATAAATAATGATGAAAACACAGTTTTAGTTAGATTGCTGTGTAGTGGCGGCATACACACTACCCTATAATAACTAGTAGGTATCGTAAGAAGTGACTGAGGGAAACTAAAACAGATGACGTCAGCATCATCGTGCTGATAACAACTGAAAATTATTTAAAAAACTGGAATACAATACCCGTCTACCAAGCGTGGCAGCTATATGCAATATTACCAAGCGTGGCCACTATATGCTACCGTTGCCAAGCTTGGTAGAAGGTTATCTAAGGCAATCTATGGGGAGACATATGGGGCTTTTATGATGATGAAGAGACGTGTGTGTAATAAATGAAATAACAATATATATATATATATATATATTAGCTTTTGTTTGCTTTAAACCGGTACAATTTAAGGTGTGGTAGGAGAAAGTATACTTTTTTTGTAAGCCTCGGTGAGTTCGATGCTGATAAGTGTGCATAAGATTTAATAGACAGGATATAATTTAGTATACAAAGTTTAATGACTGATAAATAAATTTATTAAATTTCATACATAGTTGGTTTTCATATTTTTATCTATATTTGTACTATTATTTTTTATATATTGTAAGTATGTAAATACTCTAAGACTTACACTAATTTTAAATGCATATGTCTTTAATGTAATAAGTTTTATTCAGATAATTCATAATTACTTATAAATTAACCTGTTCGAACAGATATATAAGATAAATAAAAAAAATCAACGAGCATGAGGCTTACGGTGCAGTGTTGACATGTGTACCGTCGCCTTTACAATGCACTTTCGTTCCTGATACGATGCAAAATGACCTAATTAAAAAGTAATGGAGCTACACAGTTATTATATTGAATATCTAAAAAAAATATAATTTCAGATGCGAGCAAGAAGAAAGGTTGCCCTAACTGTTCTAGCCTTTGTATTGGTCTTCGCGGCATGTTTTCTACCTTCGCATGTATTTATGATGTGGTTCTATTATTGGTAAGCATTTATGTTTAGCTACTCTATTTATAAGAATTGGAAAAAGATTTTTTGTTATCACAACACTAAGATTTTCTCGTCAATCTGGGACATGTTTTACTTATTATATGCCAGTGTTTGACTATAATCTACCATCATTATTTTACTGCCAAGCAGATAGTAAATCAGCACTTAGCTTTGCAATTTCATTGGTGCCGGCAGGTATCGAACTCAGGTTGCTTGCGTACTATAAATTTAAAGCGAGGGGCTTAGCCCCTGAGCTACCACAGCTTGAGTCACCATATTTTTGTATCCCTTGACCATCATCCCTTCAGCTGTAGTGATACATTTACGCAATACAGCGAAACCAAATGTTAAAACGAAGCCAATCATAATTCCTTCCATTGTTACTCAACCTCACTGTGGTTGTTAAAATGACGAAGGTCAAGATGGTATATCGCCTTGTTTTAGCGTAACAAAAGCTTACTTACCCTTGCCTTGAAGAAATCCAGATTGTAATCGGACGGAAAACCAGAAGTCAGCAAATTATTCCACTGCTTTGCTGTACGCATTACAAAGAACTTCCGAATCCGTTATGTTCTAACGCGTGGAATACCGACAATATCAACAATGTGGACATGCATAAATTTCAGATAGACGAACATGCACATTAGAAACTATTATTTGTAGACCAGACAAACAATTGTTCCGTGAGCGATTTGAAACCGCACCCCGCAGCCCCGTAGCCCCATAAATTATTCCTTTATATAAATTCCTACATTCGCTTGTTCTCACGTCGTTTAATTTATTTGGAGAGAATTCCCTTGTTTATTTGGAGATGATATTTTTCAGATTTAGAGTGCTAAACGAAAACAATCTTATTCAAAATATTTAAAAATAAATTACTTCAATCTTTTCATTTTCTTTTATTGTTTGTGGTCCGTGTATTTTTAATTTTTATAAATCGCGTATATTATATAATATTATGACCTTACTTAAATATTTTTGCGTGTTTAGTCCTACAGCTCAAGATGATTACAACGGGTGGTGGCACGCTCTGCGCATTATGGGATTCTGTCTGTCCTTCCTAAACAGCTGTGTGAACCCCATCGCGTTATACTGTACGAGTGGTATCTTTCGAAAACATTTCAATCGGTGAGTTGACTTTGACTTGAACGCCACAAATGACTAGCCAAAAATCCCATCGTTAAAAAGAATAGCACAGTTAATAGAACATACAGTTAGAATGATGTATTATTTCAAATATTTAATCACACTGACAATTGGGCTAATCGGCACAGGTTCCCTTACTAAGGCTACTTTCTCCACTATTTGTCACTGGAATTTTAATTTGGCATTATGTAATGGACTTTCCGCTAACTGCTAGTCGATTATGATCGTGTGAAAACTGCTGCAAGAATCGGTGATTTCATCACATGGGCACGACACCCAAAAGGTGACTCTGGGAAATCCTGCAAAGATGTCATGGCTTTCCTAAATATGGCGGCATACCATCTCGTTTACGCCAAACGTTAATAATCCAGACTGACCACTGGATGCGTTGACATAGCTGCGATACGTGATTATTATAAATCCTTACTAAAATTGGAGAAGCTATTTAAAAAGATACACTTTGAAGAAGAAGAACGCTGAAGAGTGTCGTTCGTCAGTCAGGCAGCAGGTTACGCACGACACACCGGTGAAAATGCTTGAATTCACAATATTTTAGTGTAAAGAGGTCTATAGAAGTAATTTTAAGCAATAAAATGTACTCGATCCCGAATACACAAATATTAACAATATAATGCTCCAGACCGAATATGAAATTCGGTTCAGAAAATTATTGCAAATATATCACGGTCGCCAGTCCAAACGCAGACTAGCTAAATGGGTAGTACTGGATCAAAGTGCACAAATGTGTGCACGAGCATAGGTGCAGTCTGCTCCCTCATTTTTATAGTACAATTGGACGAAAATTCGAAACGGCTGCAGACTGATCAGGCGCTGACAGCTAATTACGTGCTTTCCGGGGTACGGGAGTGGAATTTCTTGACAGAAAAACCTATTAACAGATTTTTGTTCGACCCGGTTGAACCCTGGACGCCGTGATCAGCTGTTGTGCTTACGACTATTAGATAAATAAGACAGTCTAGTGAACGAGCATTAACTCTCATACGCTGACACTCGTATATTTCATGTGAGAAAACCTAAGGAATGCCTAAGGAAAAATATGATATTGGTCATCCCAAATAATTACTCTGGTATAATATCGTTTTTAAGATAAGTGACTATTCTACTTGTTTATCAGTTTCTCTCTCATAAAAGGTACAATCGATCTTGTTCTTCATCATTCTCGGTATTCGTATGAGTGTACGAATCTGTATTTTTTTCGAATGATGGATTAGAATTCACGACTTTCAAGTTTTCGGTTCGTACTTTTAGTCATTAGGCTATTTTTGATTAAATTTATTTGTAAAATAAATAGTAAAGTATCTATAATATAATACTAAAACATAGGCTGTAGGACTTCTTTTCCGCCTAGACAGTGATACCTCTTTTAGTTTCTGCTGCTAAATAGCTGGGCTTACACTTCTGTGTTCTGAATAAAAGATAAAGAATGAGGTAATGGGCTATGTAGACTCATGATGTATTGATTTTAAATAATATTTATAAATAATTATATAAATATGTGCGTACATAATTTTAACCAGGTATCTCTTATGTCGGTCTCCATCAACACATGGGCCGAGAGGATCCTTATCCATTTCAACTTCAAGAAGGCTACACTCTAGTCGAAAAACTAATATCAGCATGGTACCAAGAACGTAAGTATAAGTCATTGATTATTAATAATAACCATAATATTTACAGAAAACGCCTTTCAACAATATTGCATCTAGTTAAAATTTATAAATAACAATTGAAGGATTTTATTTGGGACAAACTTGTGTCTGCAGTCGATAAAAAAATCTCTCATTAGAGCCGATTAAAAACTAAACATAATCTCGTGGCTTTAAAAAGAACAATTCCGTCGTATCTCCTCATTTGGAAGACAGTTTCCATTCTGTTTCTACCAGTATCAGAATCCTTATTGTTAGCATACCGAATATTGTCAAATTGGCCTCTAAGAAGCTTTTCGGTCCATCCCTTGTACTTGTAAATGAACATGGCGCAAGTTTTTTTTTTATAGAATAAGGTGACAAACGAGCACACAGGCCACCTGATGGTAAGTGTATGCTGTGGCTCACCACATCTATTCTCAATAAATAATGAAAATGCAGATGCGTTGTCATCCCCGAGGACTAAGACCTTCCTTGTTTCCAATAAAATGTGGTTGGTGTTCTGTGGGTGCGTGTTCCTTTTCCGGTAGAGCGGACCCATTCATACTACAACTACTCGACTCGTATGACACACTTGCGGCATGGCTTTAACAAGAAATTTCAGTCTGACATGGAATATTGTTCTCATCTCAAAACCGGAGCACACCATTACCAGCTCCTTTCTTCCAATTTTATTGTCACAACCACATTATAGAATTTATTGTCACAGTTAATTTATATTCACTTTCATTACAGTATAGGGAGAACAAGTGAAATCTTTTCTTAGGTTACTCATCAATTGTATCTAAAGCAATAAAAAAAATTATCTTAAGTAAATTTATAAAATAAAAACATTTATCCGTTGCCGCTAGAGCACTAGAGCTGTTCCTTTTCACGCTGAAAGGTAAATACAGCTAATCAGGGGAGCAAGGCGTTCTTGACAACCAAACCCGCATACCGTGGAGAGTAGGATTGATAATAGGTATATATAAAAATGTTATGTTAAAAAAAAACTAATATCATAGTTTTTTTTAATAATTGTATATCTGAATGAACAAACTTATATAAAAATATAAAACAATGAAATAAGAACAATATAAAAGAAAGGATGTGATTATCCAATTAACAGAAATAAAAGTAAAATTAAGACAAAATAAGCCAACTAGAGAATTACACCGATTTTTCTTCATCCCTTTGTTATAACGGTAATGACCCCTGGTTGCTTTTTTATGGAAAGATAGAGGATACGAAAATGAGTAAAACGTACCAATCATTGTCAACAAAGCTATCGAAATGAAAATTTATATTTTCTATCGGTCTTTTATTAATTTTATTATGACGCAGGAATTTATCTTGAATATTTATAAAAAACTCCTGAATCTAGGCTTTTTGTTTAAGTATAATCTGACATTTGTAAAATACTTCGTAACATAATTGATTTGTCTATATATATTCCATTATAGATTCCGATGTTATTAGCAAGTTCCGGAAAAAGCTACTCAAACATAAAACTCTTTCATTCAATTAAGGTTTTACAAGTTTGTTACTTATGTATGAAAGAAAACTAGAACGCTGTGAGCTGAAACGTCCATAGAAAGGTCAATAATATAAACTAAAAATTATAGTTATAACTAGAGTTATAAGTTTATTACTACTTATTTATAAATTTTATAAAAGCGTTCAGATTTTAGCTTACAAGTTTTTAAGCATTTCCGATTTCAATCTTACTGCGTTCTAGTTTTCTTTTATAAATAAATAAAATAACTTACGTGATTTTAAAATAAATTTAAAACTAAATTCTAAACTATATATTTGTACATATAATAAGTTATCAATTTAACTTATGTATGTACAATTATTTATACTTTCAATATTTCCCAGTGCATGGTGTAATCACTTATAGTTTGTAAAACATAAATATTATATTTTTATTTTTATTCCTAAGTACCTATATAAATTATATTTGAAAGGATACAATCGCGGGTGATTCTTTTTGTTTTCAAATATTTTTATGTAAGATAATATTCAACTATAGATTTTTCTATAGAACTATAGATTCTTTTAGTGTGCAAAGTGTGCAAACATTATATTTAATTTTGCATCTGACCTGATGTGTCCGGTAACCGGTGTCGGAGCTTTTAATGCTATAAAATATAATTTTATCAATATTATATTATATTAAACAATTTCATCGACAAATCATGTCTCGAATCTCATTTAGACCTAGCTGTATTTAAATGACAGCCATTTAAATTTTTCAGTGTCACCGCCTCGACCCCGCGCATTAAAATTACAATATTCACCGATGTAGAAGTCCTACTTTCTTAAAAGATGTCTCATTGGATAGATAAAGATACGCATAATAATATAAAAGCACATGTTTAACTGCAAAATTATATTTAGATCCTAAAAAAATCGGTTAATTTTTCACATTTTCGACTTTAATGAAAAAACTAAGGAATTTACCTAACGATTTTTTACATTAATCAGATAGATCACAACATTTACTAACGAAAAACATAAAAATCTTTTTAAGGATCTTTTTTTTTAGGATTTAAAGTCTTTTAGTATCAAAATACAAATTTGCGGTTAAACATTTGCTTTTATTTTATTACGCGTATATTTATCTATCCAATAAGATATCTGTTAAGAATGTAGGACTTCTACATCGGTGAATATTGTAATTTTAATGCGCGGGGTCGAGGTGGTGACACTGAAAAATTTAAATGGCTGCCATTTAAATACAGCTAGGTTTAAATGAGATTTGAGACATGATTAGTCGATGAAATTAATTATATTTTATAGAATTAAAAGCTCCGACACCGGTAACCGGACACATTATAAATATTTATTACTAGCTGTTACCCGCGGTTTCACCCGCATGGTCACTGGGAAATGAACTATCAATTACTTTTTGAATTGAAAGAAAACTGAGATTTTATAGATTTGTCAGAGATGCAGCCATTAGAAGGAAACTGAGCAAAATTTATTCGTCAGCCTATTTAAATGTTTTGAAACGCAGCGTATAGGAAAGCATGAAAATAGCCTATTTATTCCAAATGGAAATGGGACATTTTTTTAACTAAAGGAAACTGAGCATAATTATCCGTCAGGGGCGCAGACTTTTGAAAAGAAACTGAGTTAAATTGATTCGTCAGAGATACAGTTTTCTGAATTGAAAGGAAACTGAGCCAACTAAAAGATCCGTCAGAGATGCAGCCTTTTGAGTTGAAAGGAAACTGAGCTTAATAGGTCCATCAGAGGTGCAGCATTTGGAATTGAAAAGAAACTGAGCTAAATAGGAAATTTTGAATTGAAAAGGAAGATCTGTGGGAATTCTGATTAATTGATTGTGGGAATTTTGAAAAAAAAAACCACTATTTTAACAATACTGTACACAATGTTATATGTTTTTCCATTCGGGGAATGAATGTGGAGATTCGGACTAAGAGAAAGCACGGTTTTTTTTGCTACCTGTAACGTTTGCCCTTGCACTTTATTAATTGTCATTGCAAAACTGAGCTTAATAAGGAACTGCAAACTTTTGAATTGAAAAGGAAGATCTGTGGAAATTATAGGGATCCGTGGTATAATAACATTTTCAACTTTTCTTACGCCTGTCAAAATTGTAGCATCGATTATGTTCCGTCCAAGATGTGTCACACGCAGCCTTGTCCCGTTACATAACCGAGGAGCATCTAAATTTCGCATTAGCATGACTGGGACGCCTAATTTTAATTGAACCTTATGTGAGGGCACACCTGACAAATCTAGAGAATTTAGTAACTCTACGGGATATGAAGTGCTCTGTTTTGTGTCCATAACTGTGTCTACTGACAAATATTCTGTTTTTTCTCCCGCTACTTCGCCTAATATATCTGAATTTATTTTGTTAACGCTCTCATTTTTAGAGCAAGAATCGCCCTTTCACATAACTATTTGTCTTCATGCATGTTGTTCGTTAAATCTGAATAAACGCTCGCAATTAATTCGGAATGACTCTGTATTAAATTACAAAAATCTCTCGTCAATTTAACGCAGCCCTCAGCATCCGTTTCCAACCGCCCATCGCCAATTTTTAATAGTGTGTCAGCATAGTTTCCAGCATTGTTATCATTATACAAATGTACTCTCATGTTCGTAGTTAAACTGAATTTTGTCACCTTATTCCATAAAAAAGACGACTTGAGGCATGCTTTAATTTCATCTGCAGATGTGCCCTTTTGAATGACAGGTAAAGTTCGGCGAAAGTCACCAACCAGTAAAACCACCATTCCTCCCCTTACATCGGTATTGCTGCGCACATCCTGGAGCGTTCGTTTAGTGCTTCTACAGCTTTTTTATGCGACATTGTACTCTCGTCCCACACTAAAAGTTTGCATTGCCGTAGCATTATACCTCGTGCACTATTTTTGCTAAAGATGCAGATCGGCGATTCTTCCTGGGCTAGATTTAGAGGGAGTTTTAAAACAAAATGTACAGTGCGGCCCCCGCTTAGCAGCGTGGCGGCTATACCGGAGGAAGCTTGGCCACAGCAATGTTTTTATCTTTCCGTACTTGCGCGACAAATGCACCATTTCCAGATTCAATTTGTCCTAATACTTTGCAAAAACTCGTTTTTGTTCGGGAAGCAAACAGGGTACAAATTCGGCTACTTGCTGCTGCAAAGCTGGTATGTCGTAGTTTGTTTCACGTATAATTTCATCACTTAGTTTATTTTCGGTTGTTCGATGAGGGCTTGTCATACCAAAGTCGCTTAATTTTTTGCCTACCATTGCCATTACTTTATCTTCAATCTTTCCAAGTGCTTCATTATAAATGTGTTCATTGTATGTCATATTCGCGTGTATCTGCTGTAACCTTCGCAAAATATCTTCCGCCATGTACTCTTTGTATTTGTCCCACAATTCATGTGCATTAGATAGCCCGCAAGATGATATGAGAGTTGCATAAAGATCCCTAATTTTGTCTGGTGACTGGCACTGCACATCTCCCTCCATGGTTTC